TGTGCATGGTGAAATCATTGATATTATTGATCTTTTCTAATCGATAGAACGGAAATGGGCGATTACGACGAAGTAGCGCTCTACCCTATCTGTTCCCGAGACATTTATGAGCGGTCGTAGATTTCTCTGCATCTCTCTTAAGTAAACACACTTAGAAAAAATATTGATTTACCGAATTCTCAACCAGAAAACTGTAATTTTGAGGACGATTTGCAAATCGAAAATTACCGAGAGATCTGTATTTTTTTTAAAAAGATAACCGACTCAACTGTATTTTGCTTTAATATTGTTTGCAGTCGTGATCAATGTGTTAGTGTTGCAAATTGCTCCACCATTGAACAAAAACAAGTTTTTCCCGGAAGGATTCGGGGAAGCATTGGATGAAGATTCCAAATGCTGTTTTCAGATAGTCGCCAACGGGAATGGAACTTGGACCGACAGCCTCCATAATTTCACCTTTTTATTGTTCACAAACACGAACGTTTTCAAAGTATATCAAAAATCACAATATGGTGGATTTGACGTTACCGAACTCAGTAATGTAAAGGCCCAAACGCAATGTGGACGGAAGCGGAACGTTAACGGAAAGTTTGACAGTTGTCACAAATGACATCAAGAAGCCTAACCGATGTCGATTTGGTTCTAACTAGTTTTCAATCCGACAAGTAGGATTACTAAGATCGGGCTTTTCCGCTGCCGCTGCCGTTCCGCTTCCGCTGTCATTGCGCTTGGGCCTTAACGCTTTGTTTACCGAAATTTCAGTAAAATATTTAACCGAAGTCAGTGATGAAGCTGATTTACAGACGTGCCGGTAAACATGTTTACCGGTTTCGTTAAATTAAAATGAAATTACCGAAATTCGGTCAATTCATTTACAGTTTTCAGCAATATAGCGAGAAAATACCGAAACATCTGTAATTTTAAGCATTACCGATCTAAGACGGTAATTTTTTTTTTACCGAACTCAGGGTCTCTGTTTAAGCGTGTACGATACTGTGCAACTTGTTCGATGCTAAAAATTGGATCCGAATGGTCACCACAACCGAAGATCTACTGGGTCATTTGTGACTTGTCTGGGGGTGAGATTTGAACTCGTGACTTTGGCGTGAGAGGTATGGATTCTAACCAATATGCCGGGGTCGCCCCCATCTGTAAAATTGATTGCTGTGTAAATTTAATCAAAGTATGCCTTAATTTGTGCAACTGCATTAAATGTAGTTAAATTGTGATTATTTATATATTTGGTGGTCATTGGATCTCAGTGGTCATCAGATAACCCGCCGGAAGATCTGGAACATCCGTAAAACTGATTGCAGGATGCCTCGCTGGATACGCCCAAGACTGGACGGGCGCTAGCTGGTGGCCGTGAACGAAACCTGGGGAAAGCACTAGACGCAAACCTCCTCCCAGGTGATCATGGCAATGCAAGAACAATTGTTTTCGGACGGTAGATTTACCACTACTGCTGCCGAGGGCAAACTGAAGCTCCCGGAAGGTAAGAGCTTCGTTGATCTGTAGAGCAGGAACACAGTCGCGAAAGCTGCTTGTGGAAGGTTTGACGCGCTGGACGAAATCGCTGTCGTAGCCACTGACAGCGGACAGGCCGGCAAAATATTTTCCTAATTCGTCGGTGATTTCCTTCGGTTCTGAGATCGAGATGCCATGAGCTTGGATAGTAGGTAGAGTAGACCGCCGCTTGCCACTCAGAGCGTTGACACGATTCCACAATTCACCCGACGATTGGGATTCGTCGATTGAATCCAGGAAATCCATCCAGCTAGATCGCTTTGCGTCTCTAGCTGTCTGCACAAGAAATGGTGTTCTCGGTAAAACTTCAGCGCTTCCTTCCTACCAGGGTCGTCTAAGGCGAGACGTTCAAGTCAGCGTAAAGCTTTGGTATCCTCATTCCACCAACGTAAGGCTTTTCGCCCAGGTACGCTACCCGTCCTTGGGATAGATACTGTTGCAGCTTTGTAGAGTACTTCTGTAAAGCTGGAGATATCGTTTGGATCGCGTTGCTGAAGGAGAGCGTCGGATTTCTCCCTGAAGGCGTCCCAGTTGGCTTCCTCGTAGCGCCATCTGGGTCTCCGAATCGTTGGAGGGGCCGCGCCTACGGAAAGCTGTACGCGGATCGGGTAATGGTCACTACCATGCTGGTCGTTGCTGATATTCCACTGTGTCCTGTTTGCGATAGATCGACTGGCAGTGTCAATGTCGATCGCGATGGTGTGCCGTCCATTAAAAAAGGTGGGAGCGCCATCGTTCAGCATCACCAGGTCCTCACTCTCGAAGATGTTCGCCAGGGTATAACCTCTGGGGTCTGGGCGAGGGCTGCCCCAGTCCGGATGGTGCCCATTGAAGTCGCCGACGATGTGCCGCGGTTCCAGAAGCTTAAAAATAGCTGCACTTAAGTCTCCATCCAAATTGGCTATTCGTCCGCAGGGCGGGTACGCACAGCCGATAGCTAAGTTAGCGGCGTTTGTGAGGTGAACACCAACGATTGGTAGGTCGGTGTGGAGGTCAAGAACTTGGTGTGGAATACTCCTAAGCACCCCGATGGCTACGGAGTGCCTGAAGTTGGTGCAGCGCTTGTAGCTCCAATCGTATTTCCCCCCAGTGAACGATTGAGTTGGTCGGTTGTAACTTTATTGTCCTCTTGTAGAGGGCATCGCTTTGGAAAAGGAGCTCCAATTCCCCTAGGCAGCCAAGGAATTCGTTTGTATTCCACAGGAGAACAACGTTCACCGGCTTGGGCAGGGCAGGCGTGGGGTACGAGATGGTAGACTCACGGCATGTCGAGTAGGGCCTAGCCCCGTTGAGGAGAGGTGTAGGCATTCCATCTACGGTTTCGTAGATGCTAGATACGTTCATACGACTGGTAGCGTCGATTTTGTCGGCCGATACCGTGTCCGTCAGAGCTCCGCCAAGGATAAGTGGAGGCGTTCCATCCAACAAATACGAAGATGGCACATCGGGAAGAGCCACCGGTGGGCTCGAGGTGACAAAATCAAAATCTATGATTTGCTCGAGCCTTATTTGGCCTCAGATATTTAGATACTTGGTCACCAATCAAGAATGATATACCGCAGGCATCTGTTCAGGTACTTGGTACTTCACAAGCAAAATTTTATCATTGTTAACATTATAACGATGGTCACATTGAGTTTACAAAACTCACGGTCACATCAGAACAGTTCTCCCCTGCTTCTCAACAATATTAAGAAACCCATTTGTTACTCTGAACCAGTGTTGGCAAAATCAGATATCAATTGATGTTTTTCCGCTCTCATGCGCTCGCAATATCACGCGTGATATTGGAACAAAATATCATGCTTGATATTGATTTTACAAGCTCCTTTGATATTGCGAGACTATTCACAACGTGCAAAAATCAAGCTGAGAGTTGACTCGACACAAAAATGATTCCATTGCACATTTTTTTTTAGAAAGAGAAAGCATAGTTTGCTATCTCTTTTTAATCTTCACCGATGGCAGACGCAAAGGGTCTGCTGCAAGCCGTTATGGACGTTTCGATTGCATTCGGGTGTAAAGCAAAAATCATTAAACTCAATCTTACCACAGTTTGGTGAGATTTGCAGTTGGTGAGTTTTGTTAGCTTGATATTCCGAGCTGCGATATCACAGCTTGTTGATTTTTGTCTACGAAAATCAAGCGTGATCTTGGGCGTTGGTGAGATTTGATTTTTTGATATTTTCCCAACACTGCTCTGAACATAGTCGTGTATAGAAATACTTGATCCTACATTTCATAAAGGAACCTTAGCTATATAACAGACAAACAAACGTAATTCTTTAAATAACTTTTCCTTTAAAAAAAAACCCTCACAAACGACATCTAACGAGCTAGTCGCGAAAAAAAAAATTACTTGTCAAGTCTCCAATAATGTTGCATACAAGTTCGATAGAATGTATAGAAACGTCGAAGAGATCCGAGCTCTGTACTGAGGTATTCGCGAATTTAATCATATGTAAATTGAACGTTAAATTCGTGTACGACGATTGTGGAAAAAGACCGACGTCTGTTTGTCTGTGATTAAAGATTGCATGAAAAATTACCATATTATAGAATTTCTCGAAGAAAATCGCAATTAACAAAAGATTGTGAACCACTGGTCAAGACTTAAGGACAAGATTGGTGGAATCCGTTCACTTCGCGTTTCAGGGGCACTAATCTCAACATGCAGAAGTCGTGCAGAATTTAAAATTGAGGTCAACGCTTGCCTCCCTGCAGCAAATATTTAAATACATTTTAAACTTTGTACGTCTAGTAGTTCGCCAGGCATGTGCCCAAGAACATGCGAAGTGAAAAACAAATTGTGTGAAAAATGTATGCACTGTTAAACTAATGTATAGATTAAAAAATGTATGGCCAATATTTGTAAATTTGTAAACACATTTAAGTGAAACGTCTTAAGTAGGGAGGGAGCAAATCCTGCTTGGAATAATAGGGTTTACCCGTCTGAAAAAAACGTTCGACACCATACTTTATTCCAATATCCTGTAGCTTTATCCATATGCCTCAATTTCAGTTAACTCCTAACCATAACTGTTAATCACAAAACATTCATTCATTAGATGGCTTTAAAATCCGACCTTATATGGGACAAATTAAACGAGCGCCTTGCTCAGATCGATCGCAAAAAACGCTCCTTTACAGCGATCTTCTTTGTTCATCTTCGACTGGATGGAAAAGTGGTCAGAAGTGTCGGTAAGCAATCGATAAACATCAGTCTATAATATTTTTTTCATAAGTAGGTATTTTGTATTTCAAGTACTGGATTTCGACGACTTGAAAATCACGGAAATTGAGCTGGGCGTTGTCAGTACGGCTGACTATCCAGCTGAACGCATCGATGCATCCATCACGATTGATGACAACGACTTCTACTTGGTGGCAACGAAGGAAACTTCCTTTGCTGCCCTTATCGAACAGGTGAGCAATATTATATGGCGGCAATATGTTTTTTTCGGTGTCTCATGCTATCAACAGCAAGTGATAACCGACTGACTTAGCCTATAGATAATAAATGCACCTAGATTAGACTGAGGTGTGAGCCATCGGTTTATAGACTTTGAACTGTGGAATGATTTAACTGGGAGTAATTTAACTTTCTTTCAGGGCAAAGTGGATATAACTGGAAATAAGCAAGCATTCATGACCCTAGACGAGAAATTCAGAAAGAAGTGATATCCACATCATTCTGAAATACTTATCAATCACTAGGTGCCTCTGTTCGATGAATTAATCATAAATCTGTGAACTCAAATCACCCTATGAGCAATCACTGGTTGCATAATATCCGTTTCAAAGATGGCAAGCCAATAAAATAATTGAAACTCACGTATTTCTAGAAAATAACACTCATCCCATGCACTTTATTGTCAACACAGAATCCAAACTCATCACACCCAATCAGCCACATTGCATAAATTAGATCACTTCGGCCAACTTGGAAGCCAGACCGGCATCTCCGGTAAGTTCGATCTTACCCTGCTTCAGGGCATCGCCAACGGTCAGCGTCTTGCCACTGATGGCAACCAGATCCTCAAGAGTCACGGTAACGGTTACATCAGGGCTGGCCGATGCTCCCTGCTCCACCTTCAATTGCTTCAGGTCGACAACTGGAAATACACAGCAAATCAATTCAAATAAACACACTCAATTCACGGTCTGGTTCATCTAGTTAATCCGAAACTCACTCCACTTCTCAACGCCACTTCCAGTCTTGACGTTCAACTGGAACACTCCCAGAACCTTGCGGGGTCCATTTGGATCAACGGCGGCCACACGTGCCTTAATTCTTTCAATGACAATATCCAGAGACATTATGTGGGTTTTTTTTTCGCACAGTGATCGTCGACGGGAGAAACAATTAAACTGATGTCGCTGAGCATCCCATCAATCTTATTTATAACGGCCAATACAAGATTATGCAATTGGGCTGTTGAGCGAATCAAACTTGCGATAGCGATTCGAATCTTATCTTAAATACAAGTGTACAAATGTGCTCGGATTGGTCTTCGTGTACTTAGTGGAGACAATTCGAGAACTCTTAGTTGTGGAATAAGTGACAGAGATACAAAGTTCAAACCTACCGCGAATTAGTGCATCTTGATGCATTTCTGTATTGATTAGTCTTTTTAAGTGTGGCCCGATTCCTAGTCGTTGAACAATCATGCATTTTCGGTCGTATCTCGATTTAAGCCAGATGTTTACAATGAGCCTGTAAAAATGTCGACCATAGAGAGCATGGGTTATCAGTACCTATTGACATTGGTGTTGATAAAAAATATACGAAAATAATTGAGTGTGTAAAGTCAGGAACTGCCTTAAGTGATCTTAAGTCGCGCCAACTAGTTTCAAAGTCCAATAGTCGTTAAGAAATCTAGAAGATCAGATAAAAGAAGTGCAGCAGTGGATAATGATGATGATGTTCCCACCTCTTACCCCTCCTACAAAGGTCTGAGCTGAACTATTTATCTTTATGATAATTACGTATGACATCTTAGCGGTGCCGGTGGTATAGTGGCAAGCGTGATTACCTCTCACCCCAGGAGGCCTGGGTTCAATCCCAGTCGGCGCTGCTGGGATGTTCTGAGGCATAAAATCTCTGATCACGCCTTCCTTCGGAAGGGAAGTAAACCCGTTGACCCCGGTTCATGAGTTGATGGGTCGATAGATAGGATCCAGGCAGACCTTCTTCACTCTTTGGAATTTATAGAGACAGATAACAGCGCCAAAAGGATTGTGACGAGACCACAATGAACTGCAGCATTCATTGGAAGCAAACACGCACACCAACATCTATGCATTTACGAACCCACACCACTGCGCGGACGGTACAGCGCAAATCAAAACACGAAGCGGTGTCATCACTTATCTTCATCATTCAGCTTCGGCAGCTTCCGATTGCGTTTGTATTCGCAGTCGTTGACAAATACCTTCCTACGTTAGGAAAGTAATCATTATCCAACATAATTCAGTGCCAACATTTCAAAGGGGCGTAATTGCTTTTGTAAACAATGACTTTACCCGTAAATTTCTCGCGAATGAAATCTTACCTCTCCAAAATAACAATGCTAGCTGGTAAAGGAAACATTTATCTACCTGCTGGTGTCATTATTTTTCATGAGTCGCGAGAAATCGACGGCTAAAGCCATTGTTTACAAATACAATTACGCCCCTTTGAAAAGTTGGCACTGAATTATTGAATAGAATGCGTGCTGCGTTGACTAAGGAAGATGGCATTTCCAATGGCTGGTGTGTGTAATTCTTCATGGAGAGTAAATGTTTTTCCATGTCTATTTCTATGCTTATAAAGATTATATTGTGTAACAGCGTCGCAAATAATCAATTACTGTTAGATATTTGCTTCTTACCGGTCATGATATTGGAAACTCTTTCACTCCAAAGCAAAACATATTACAAGCCCATCATGATGCGAGCTTGGATGTGTGATTGTTTTCACAAGAAAGTGAGAGCCTTGCTATCGCAATATAATGATGACGACATCGAGGATGATATCGTCCTCTTCGTTTTCTTCGGCTGATCATCAACGTCCGCGCCGGCACATGTCATGCTGACACCTGTCAGTTATTGAGCCCTGGTGGTGAAGTTGGTGGGGGACTTCCAACAGTTACAATGTGCACTCACCAGATGGCACTGTGATCACATAAGGGTTGTGTATCAATTGCCTTGTTCGAATAATTGATTAGTGGGATATCTTGTTAATAAAGTATCTTTGGTCCAGGTGTGGGAGCTGCTTCCCTGGCGTCGGTAGCATTGGTTCTCAGCACGGAAAACAAGATCGACGGAGAAAAAAAAAAACAAGGAAAAAAAGTATGACATCTTAACCAGATTAGCAAACAAAACGAACTGATTACAGTTACAGATATAAATGCCCTCAACTCTTTTCAGTTGCTTCACGGCGATATGAATGTGAAAAAGCTTTGGCGTTCACCTCTTTTTTCGCTCTTTTGTCCACCACAAATATTCACTGGCTGCGGGAACAATAATGTTTGCTTGTTTGGTACCCCGCTTGACAGTTCGATTGGTACTTCTGGCTTCACTCTTGGCGGGACTCTTATTAAACTCAAAAAATTTCAACCTGCCTCATATATGAGAACAACCGTGGCACAGTGAGATCGGACGAAGACTCCGGCAGCAGCATACCCCAACAGTTCATGATCGAATCCCAAATGAGACCCATTAAAAATATATGTGAAAGCTCTGGCCTCTGGCAGTTTTGTTTATATATTTGTCGATTCATTTTTAGAGTTGGTAAAGTAGAATTCGATAAAGTAGAATATTGTAGAATATTGAACTATGGTGTGCAAAGCTATTGATATCACCATATGAGGCACATAGAATCCAAGTGTGTCACAATTCAAATCCATAGTGTTCAGGCATGGCTCATAGCATAAGATTCACACATGAAATGCACAGATAAAAATGATGAATTTTAATTGCGATGTAACCATTCATTCACGTAAACTTGTATTTCATTTCATGCAATCGAGCAACTTGTAAACAATGTTGTTTACAAAGATGGGCTTTTGTATACAATATTTGCTACATGGCATGAAATGTCTCAGAACTTTACATGATTTATAATGTAAACTTATATGATATGTGACGCTCCATTTATGTGCATCATATTGAACAGAAATTTACACTACTTTTTCGAACCGTGTGGATGTGTTTCACAATATGCGCAAAATTAAGTGTGAGACACATGATGATGACGTGTGGAATTTTTTGAGTGTATAACATTGACTCTGATTAGAACACCGACAAACCGACATGAAACCTCGCATGAAACATAAACTCTTGATCGAGAATCCATAGCGGCGGATTCAAATGTGCAGCGATCCCATCTGTCAAAACCATAGACATTTGTTATCTACACGATAAGAAAAAAGTACACTTTTAACTACTTTGGACTAGTTTGTCTCCTTTTCTCCTTCTAATGTTCACGGTTCGAAAAAGTAGTGTAAATTTCTGTTCAATATGATGCACATAAATGGAGCGTCACATATCATATAAGTTTACATTATAAATCATGTAAAGTTCTGAGACATTTCATGCCATGTAGCAAATATTGTATACAAAAGCCCATCTTTGTAAACAACATTGTTTACAAGTTGCTCGATTGCATGAAATGAAATACAAGTTTACGTGAATGAATGGTTACATCGCAATTAAAATTCATCATTTTTATCTGTGTACTTTTGGGTTTCTGCACTATAGTGCCGATTTGAGTGAACTTAAGACCCATATTCCCCGTTAGAGCGTTACATAGTTAATGAATCACCCCTAGGAAAGGTACAAAATGGAAAAAAATGTGATTAAAAGAAATCAATGATCTACAATAAAATAATTAAAACAAATTTCATTTCAATTGCCCTAAATTTATTAACCATTACATTCCCTTTACCATTCAGATCATTATTGACAAAAAAGTTTCTGAACTGATTGTGCCCGGTTTAGATCGCATCTACTAGAGCCTGGAAGAGAGCCTCGTCGCCAGTCATCTTGATCTTTCCCTGCTCAACGGCATCATGCACCGAGACAGTCTTGGTTCCGACGGAAATGAAGTCATCGTCCTTCATGTTGATCACCACATCGGCTCCCGAAGCTTTACCCTCGTATACCTTCAGGCCCTTCAGATCAACAACTGTAAATGGGTCAATAATATATTGCTTCAATTAAACAGAAATGACTAACGAGAACATACCAAGTTCGTGCAAACCATCGGCAGCTTCAATATTTAACTGGAAGACTCCTAGCACCTTACGGGGACCGTTAGCGTCGATTCCGGCAACACGGGCCTTGATTTTCTCAACGACAGCATCGCACTTCATTTTGAACACGAATATACACCGTTAGGCAACTGAAGAAATACTGAAGAAAACTGATGGACAAATGACTTCCAAAGCAAGCTTGCGTGAAAGTATTTATACAAATTCTTAATTAAAGAAATTCACTTTCACACGATTCATGCCACTGTTCAAAATCGTCCGATGTCTAATCTAACGTCCGATCCACGTTTGCACGAAGAATCGTTATCTGATCCAGGCGAGTTTATTGAGGATTATCCATCGGAAGAAACAAAGTCTATAGCAAGTCAACAACATGCATTGACGTCCAAGACGACACGTGGAGTTTGTTACGCCACTAGATTAAAGCAGTGTTGTTGGTTAAAATCATTAACCGACGCGGTAGATAACAAACGGAACTAATCCGGAACACCTGCTATTTCGGAAATGCACTTTCATCGAGTAGTATAAAATTGGACTCCGGTTCCATTGTCTTCATCAGTTATTCACAGTTCCTTCGACCAGTGAAGATCCTCCAGACAACAATCAATCAATCATGAAGTGCGACGCTGTTATTGAGAAAGTCAAGGCCCGTGTTGCTGGAATCGACGCCAATGGCCCACGTAAGGTGCTTGGAGTGTTCCAGCTGAACATCGAAGCAGCTGATGGTTTGCATGAGTTGGGTAAGGAACCAGCCTCTCTATAATCCATCAAATTAATACCGGGTGATAATTGTGCTATTCTTATTATTCGCAGTTGTTGATCTTAAGGATCTGAAGGTGTACGATGGCAAAACTGCTGGTGCAGATGTTGTGATCAACATGAAGGACGAAGACTTCATTTCCGTTGGAACCAAGGCTGTCTCAGTGCATGATGCCGTTGAACAGGGAAAGATCAAGATGACCGGCGACGAGGCTCTCTTCCAGGCTCTGGTTGATGCTATCTAAGTTAAACGGAATTGAACTATCGAATAATGATCTAAAATATACATTAAGCAATATTGAGAGAAAGTAATTTGCTGTTTACACAATTGAAAGAATTGAAAGAACTTCGAAGAGCTGCTTCTGTACGAACGTAAAATTTTCATTTTCATTTTCATGGAATTAGCGGCGCCGGTGGTGTAGTGGTAAGCGTGATTGCCTCTCACCGCAAAAAACCTGGGTTCAATCCCAGTCGGCGCCGCCGGGATTTTTTGTGTGATTCATTTCTCGTTATTCGATTTGTTGGAGCGTATTGTTGGAAGGAGATTTTTAAATTCCCGTGGATTTCACGTAAGTGTCTCTGCTTACGGGTCCGCCCTTCCGTTTTTGGCCCTTCATACAGCGATATTGTGAATTCAGATCGGTAGCTCAAACTGATCTTGCTATTAAGTGGAGCTGCATACAAGACAAATCTTGAAGGGATGGTGGCTACCTTACACACATACATACATAAAATCTCTGATCGCGGAAGTAAAGTCGTTGGTCCCCGGTCTATGAGTTGTTAGGTCGATAGGTAGGGTCCAAGTGTTTGAGCTGCCTCCCTGGCGTCGGTAGCATTGGTACTCAGTATGGAAAACAAGATCGATGAAAAACAAATCAAGGGGAAAAATCAATCTTCGTACCAACGAAGTTATTGATGGAAACTGGTTCTTGGGCATTCAGGTCAGTGTCCACATTAATCGGGACACATTCTAATCAGAGTCAATGTTATAATAAGAGTACCGCCAAGAGTGAAGCCGTAAGTACCAATCGAAATGTCGGGAGGTTCGAAGGAAAACAAATCAGGCATAACATTTGATAACGGCACATAAGCTTTTGTAAATAAACTTTCTAAGGCCCTTTACACGCAAACCAAAGTACGCCCACGCAAACCAACAACATTATCGGATAGGGGTAACTATCACCTTTCCGAAAGTGGTATTGGTTTGTGTGGACGTACGTTGGTTCGCGTGTAAAGGGCCTTAGAAAGTTGGTTTACAAATGCTTTTGTGTCGTTATCAAATTTTATGCCTGAAATGATTTACTTACTTACTTAGTTCTGTGCACCACCACCGGTGCAAAGGGCAAACGTGAAAGACTTCCATCCTGCGCGCTTTTGCCTTGACCTGGGCCCAGGTCAGATTCCTATCGACTTGCTTAATTTCCTTATTGAGGCTCCGCCGCCATGAGCCCCTGGGTCTGCCTCTGCTGCGATGTCCTGCTGGATTCCAATACAGCGCTTGCTTGCAGATTTCGTTTCCGCCCCGTCGAAGTGTGTGGCCGACCCACCTCCACTTTCGCTCTCGAATTTCTGTTGCTATCGGCTTCTGATGACATCGACGATGGAGCTCGGCATTCGAGATCCAGTTGTGAGGCCACCAGGCACGAATTATATACCGCAGGCATCGGTTGATGAAGACCTGCAGCATTAGGCGATTGGCAGGTTGACCCAATGATTATGATTTTAGGCGTATTATGCAAGATTTTCTTTGAAGATCCGATCGAATGTAGTGGAATGTTGAGCTAGAATAAGGAGATACAACAGTCTTTCAAGTGTTTGCTTCCCGGGCAAACCATCGTTCATTTTGTGAGTTCATTCCTGTTTATTAACTCAGTGTTTAAAAATTCCGAAATTTAATTTGAAAATTACCGAGGAAATTCGCGGTGAAAGGATGTTGCTCGCGGATATCGCAAAAGTGTGATTTACATCTCACTGCAGTCTGAAAAGTAAACAGTACCACTGAACTGCCATCCGATGTAGGTTATAGTTTGAGGTTTTGGTAGGGTAGATAACTACTTCGGCCTAATCGCCCATTTTGGGCCTATAGAGCAGAAAACTTCAAATAAATCCATGATTTCAGAGTTAACAAGCGTTTGGTACGATACTTTAGTTAATAAACTACGGAACTAAGTCAATGAGAACGCGTGATTTGAAGCTTTGCACCCATAATTCACAAAAACAAAAGAAGCGCTCCGACCGAAGCAATTTTTATCTTCATCCGATAGGCCGAAGTGCATTCATTGGCGTTTCAATGCGTTAGGCCGAGTTTAGAATCCGTAGACCGATTTTGGCGTCAAGAAGTAGTGTTAGACTTTAGGCAATATCTCAACGATTGGTTTCTCTTTATCAAATCTAATACCCTGGATAGACTATAGCTTATATCATGTAATATAGGCTGTCTTGCAATGAGCACTCATACATAGGTTTTCCAGTGAAAACTAGATGTATGAGTGCTCATTGCAAGACAGCCTATATTAGATGATATAAGCCATAGTCTGTACGGGGTATAACGGTACATACGGAAGTGTAAATAAATTTGGAAGTCATCAGTAATAATAACATTCCGTTTGGTGCTAAACTGCGCTAGATAAGAAAGACTCAGTGCTGGTTGTGCTTAATAGGCCGGAAATGGGGTAGTTAACCCTCCCAGTTTTCTGAAACTTTGTTTTAGGCATCATTTCGAAGATACACTTTCGTGCTGTTCGTTATTGAAAAATTGTCGAGCGCGCTTTTTTCAAAGGGTGGGAACGGGTGGGTATGGCCAAGTGCTATTGGCAAATCAAAGTTGGCACTCGTGGAGAATAGACGAACTATAAAAGTGATGATGGTTTTAAAAATTTTCCACGGAGAGCTATACGAGTGCAATCTTAAAATGCTTTTATTTTAAAAATGGAGCATTGTATTTAAATCTGGTTGTTGCTACAGTTGTAGAAAAGCTGAAATCTATGCATACACCTAAAAATCTGAAAAGAAATTATTTTTTCTATATTATATATATATTGAGTAGTCCTTAAGTTTTCTCCTAACGTAGCATTAACCAGATTTAAATAAAATGCTCCATTTGCAAAATAAAGGCATTTTAAGATTGAACTCGTATACCTCACCGTGTAAAATTTTGAAACCATCATCACTTTCATAGTTCATCTATTCTCCACGAGTGCCAACTTTGATTTGCCAATAGTGCTTTTGATTCTGGGTTTAGACGTTTGACGTCTTCAGTGATGTTTTTTTAGTTGAAGTTCCTTTTTTTGTGATCATAATGGGTCTGAAAAGATTGTGAACTAGTTGGAAATAGCCCAGAAAAGTCTTAGAATAGTCTTTGGTTCAACAGTAGTAGGTCAGTAGGAGTACAATATTAGGAAATTGGATGAAAACATTCCTAGATTTTCGTTTAATTTCTTCTTCTTGTTCGCATTTCAAGCTTATTACTTAGCGCATATTAGCTTATCGCGTGCTCTCAACTTAATATTCTAAATGCACTTTCACAGTTATGTGACCGGTCGAACGGTGGATGATATCCGTCGTGTGGTCTTGCATGCACTGGCTTATCATCGACGGGAAAGTCACCAGCATCACCAGTTCGCCCATGGAGTGCGTGTATAGGTAGCCGAAGATGACGACCGTTGGTAATGGTCAACGGTGAGTGACCGATGGCCTGGAATAGGCAACTACTTCCTCATAATGACACCTAGATAGCGTTGCCGAACATCCTGCCCCTGGCAGAAATGACCATTTCTGGAGATTCTCAGTGCTGGATTCGTGGAAGAGCTCGGTAACATGGAACAGATAAAGAAGACCCGGTAGGATTTTCCAAAAAATTAAAAGTGTTGGACAGGTCCTTACCTCGACCCTACTGTTCGAGGGCCTTGTATGCTGGATAATCTACGATGAGTTCCGACCCGGCTGACGTGACGTACTCGCTATTTATCGCTTTCGTTGTGGAGTTGATGGTACGATTCCATTTAGAAGCACCAGCAGTTGATCCGATCCTCGTGGAGTGTAATGGGAAACGCTCGTAGGTACATGTAATGTGAATAAGACCCGGTAGCCAATTTCGAGAAGGTATGTGTTATTGGAAAGGTCCTCACCTGGACCCTTCGTATTAAGGGCCTTGAATTCATTTCGTTCCCAGCAATTTTGAAGAGCTCGTTTGATCTGCTTCTGCAGAAACCATGCTGTTGGCCAGGCTGACGTTGATAGCTGATCGTCGACAAATGGTGGTATTGGAAGTATGCAGATTTTTGCCGTAGGACGAGTGAGGAATCCGGTTGCAGTTTGCAGAGTGACTACTCGTACTACGCCATCCTTTCCTGCGTGTGGATCGTGGATTCGTGCAGTGCCCCAGCGCACCGGTGGCTGGTTCTTGTCTATGATGACTACGAGCTGGTTTTTGTGCAGTTCTACAGGCGGTTTACACCACTTACTACGTGGTTGTAGCAACCAGTGGAAGCTAACGATTTTAAATTGGCTCACTACTTGACTAGTCTATTGGTCCCAAGCGAATCGATTAGCCCAACCCATTCTAGTCGAATCTAGTACTACAGAATGTTTGTTTTGATTCGCTATGAAATTTTGACAGATAAAATAAGGGGTTAGTGGATTTTCCTATGTTTTGAGGGGTGATTCAATTAGCTTGGAACCGAAGATAGTACCAGAGCTGAGCCAAAAAGTTGAGCACGTTTCTTCGGGACCTATTAGTCTTAGAGTTACCTCTATGGTTGTAGTGAAGCGAGGTATTCTAAGTGCCAGCGTTTCCAGATATCCTGGAGCAGTTTCTGGATGAGCTGCCATTGGTGGAGAAGGTTTGCTGGAATCGATTCATAGTCGACGTCTTGAACGGACTGCAAGGACGAACCGATCAGAAAGTGTCTCGGTGTGAGGGTTTGGAAGTCTGACGGATCCTCGGATAGTTTGGTGAGCGGCCGTGAATTGAGACAGGCTTCAATCTGCACGAGGAGTATCTCCATGTCGTCGAAGGCTAGCTTACGATCTCCAAGTACACGGACGTAGTGCTTCTGTGCAGAGTTGATTGCAGCTTCCCATAATCGTCCGAAATGCGAACCACGGGGCAAATTGAAGTACCAACGAATCTCGTTGGTAGCACATTCACTGGCGAAAGTGTGCTGAAAGTCGTTGTCATGTAGTAGTTTCCGGATTTCATTCGCTGCCCCAACGAAGTTTTTACCGTTGTCACTGTAGACGTCTGAACACAAACCCCGACGATATACGAAGCCTGGAGAAATTTGACTATAGTTAGGTCTACGACGAG